AGTCAAGGTCATCATCTTACTCCTCGCTTGAAACCATACAACTTTGCTATTGGACATTTTCTTCAAAATGCATTCTAACTGAAGATATTAGGGGGGTCCGATACTTTTCGATGACCCTGTATATGTTTAATACAATTAGTATTTAAAATGCCACCAAAAATAGTATTTTAACCCACACTCAAGAGCCACAAAAGTGACTTTCCCGGCAGTTTAAAGGTTAAAGAGATTTACCTCAAAGTAAATGTTAAATTTCGTCCCGTTACTTCCAATTTTGATGAAACTAGGCTCATTCGTGTTTTTGCATAAAACGACTTTAGAAAAAAATGCGTCACTCTGCCCCGCGAAGCGAGATATTAATTGTTAAATTTTTCGCAATAAGTTTTATTACAGTTTTTAAGTTGGGGAATTTGGGGGGATTATTAATATTTTCAGATTTGATTGCGTTGAAAGTTCGACAACCATATCGGCACGCAATTATCATTTCTGAAATTAATTCATTTAAATGAATTTACAATAGTTCAACATCTCAACGTTCTGACCGTTATGGAGCTTCTTAATTTAAAATTATTATGTTTAACATTAGCGGTCTTTCAATCTTATTATTGTTAATTGTTAAAGTTGACCGTTATTAGGTTAGGAAATTTGTCATTCACTGCGATCTCACTCCAAAAAAGGAGTGAAATGTTCCACTCCTTTTTTAGAGATTTCGCCCTTTTTCAAGAACTTTGAATGATGATTAAATAAATTGTTATTATATTTATTTAGTGACAAAAGATACGATATATAAAGAATTACAGATTTTTTATTTTATATTAAATACCGATATTTGTGTTTGAAATGTCTTATGCTTAAAATGTACTTTTATGAAAGTTTTATTAATATATAGTCAAATACATAGCTCAAAATTAAACATTATTTTAATAATCTTAGGCTGCGTACGGAAAGAAACGCTATTAGCGTTATTTATGTCATTCTATCTTCATTGTCCATTAGACATGAAACAAGGATAGTATAATGTTACACAAATGGCGCTGATAGCGCGATTCTCGAACGCAGCCTTATGTCAAACTATTCCATATCATGTGTCATTCTACTCCGGTCCCGGGGCTAGTTGACATGGATGGAATGCAATAGAAAAATATATTTTTTTCATATTAGTTATATTCAGTTTCCCATGTATGTAATAACTGGCATAGAATTCATTTTTTCGATAAGTCTCTTTATTTCGTCTGTAAAAATTCGGAACTAAAAGGTGAGTCTACTAGTCCCGGCCTCCCTTACGCACAATACCTTTTTATAATCTTTTTGCACATATAATTATTTTATAACGTAGTTCTTTATTAATTTTCTGTTTAATGATTATACAACGTAGTCCCTTATTAATTTTCTGTTTAATGAATAAATGAACGGTGCATACACCACAACCTCGAAATAATGATCGGTAGCACAGCGCGTAATATGAAAAGTAAATTGAAATGTCTGTCGTCAACCACATCGCTTGTGTGGCTTCATTGACACAAAAAAGAGGAAATGAAATTTCGGAATAGACATCACACGACGTAAGGCTTTCTTATTCTTTAAAAATATCACTATTTGTTCATTGACTTTGACTGACTCCTCATACTTTAATTTTGTATTAATTACCTTTCTTTCTCCTTGTTCGCTTTGCATTTTGTAGTATATAATGTAAAGTTTTTTTAAGCGGATTTAAAGAATATTAGTATTTGTTGCAAATTGTTTTGATATATTTGCAACAAAATATTTGTTTTTAATTTTATCTGCAAAAAGATGATGCATGTATACGTTTTTAATATTTTTATTTACGCAGAAAACACGATTGAAATCTGATAGCTGCCAATTCTTTGTTTTATTTACTTTAAAATATGTTTCTTAAAAAATGCTGTTTTTATATTCTATTTGCTGCGCGTCGGCGCTAAAGTCTAATAAGTTCATGTGCGAAATCCTAGCGAAATACGCCAGATGTTCCATAAATTGAAATGTTTACTTACAGCTTCGACTGAACACTAAACTTATCAAGGAAAAAGCATCGCCTGAAGATTATTTTATGAACTCCATGGCTAGATATACGCGCGTATATTTTCTATCTTATCATAATGGCGCAGATATAATTACTTCACTGATTACGTTGTTCGAAAGAATATCGCGAACATTATATATTTATAAAGAATGACATCTAATAGAATATTTAAGATAAAACAGTATGTAAAACATGAGAAAATGTGTGTGTGCGTGCGTGCGTGCGTGCGTGCGTGCGTGCGTGTGTGTGTGTAGTCAGTGGTTATGAAAATGTTAAAATCGTCTTTGTCGACAATATATATGGAACTCTGAAGGATTCCTCATTACGCTTTCTTTTTGTTCTTTACTGCGATACATTCTCGTGATTTTTCAAGCACCTTTTTCTCTTTCTTTCTCTTCATCTCAATGTTTAACCGTCGTCTAGCTATGATTTTTACGCTCGTCATATAAGAGATGCGACGTGTTTACTAGAAATTTTTACTTGCCAGTCCTTTTTATTTTCATTTCTCTCTTACACAGTTTTCCTTACTTAAATATTTTATCTTATATGTATGAGAAATTCTGAAGTCTGACGTCCCGTTAAATATCCAATTCGCCTAACATCCGACATGAAAAAACGATAAAAGCTGTATAACGATTGTTCTTCATAACGAAGTTTTAATAAATAAATGTTATATTTCACAACAAATATATAACCTTGGGAATACTGACGAAAAATACTTACAGTTGAAGGAACACGAATGAAACTATCGGGATGAATTTATGCAGCAAGAACGATATTAATAAAAACCACTTTATTTCTTGATGACAGGTACGAGAAAAATCGCGGTAAATGGGTAAAGGTGATTTCACATTTGCGTCCTGTTTTTTGTAGCCAGAAATATGTGCAAACGTACATTTTATATACAGTTGAGAGTAAGTAATCGCCGTTTTAATGTCCGTTGCTTTGAAAAGAACGTCCGATGACGTTATCTCCTTAGTAAATTCGCACCATGTCCAGTAAGAGGTGCGATATGTTCCTTTTTGTCATGCCATACTGTTTCGATTCTGCAAACATTCAGTGACCTCTTTTTTCTTCTCGCTACCTCCTAAAAGTTCCTGAATTTCGCGGAACGTCCGACCTTTGGTCTCGGGTACGGTGAATATCACCATCACGAATGCCAGTAAGCACGATCCCGCGAAGAAATAATAAACGGTGTCGGCGCCCAACCAGTCGCCAATCACCTGATACAGTTTGGATACGATGAAACCAAGCACACCGTCGAAAACGATGATAATGGCACCGGCGAACGCTTTCACCTCAGTAGGAAATAATTCTCCCATCAACGCGTTTGGTAGAGTACCCAATCCGATCTGGTAGGCCACCTGGAAGATGATCACATCGATCACTGGAAGAAGATTTGCTGCTGATACGTCGATGCCTCTTTCGTCTAGCATAAGGTATATCGCAAGAATCGCCAGGGTAACGGAAGAACCCAGGGTGGAGGCGATCAGTAATGGACGTCTGCCCGCGCCTTCAACGGTCGCAGTTGATAATCCGCACGAGATGAGGCCGACCGTGAGCACAAGTATCGTAGCCACATTGGAATCGATGCCGATCGCCGCTTTCTTGAAGAGTACTTCAAGATACTGTATAGTGCTAAAGTTTCCACTGAGTTGCTGCGTAGCAATTAGACTGAGTATGATGCCGAGAGCTCGGGCGTTACTGGGCAACAGCATCAACTTCAGTTTTCCCATCCAGCTGCGCTTAACGGGTTCCGTTCGAGCTCCAGGGCCGGTCACTGGAGTATTATCGCAAACGTCTTCGATAAAAACGTTACGTAAAGTGTATTCTAATTCTCTCCTTGCTTCGTCGCGATCGCGAATTCCTTTAAAGAACGCCAGTGACCTAGTTGCTTCTGCTCTACGACCCCTAGTCGCGAGAAAGGCAGGAGTCTCGGGGAACCAAGAGAAGCATGCCACGAATATGATAGGTACCGCGAGAAGTACACCCGTCAAAACATGGTACGATACCCACGGACCAATACTACATGTCAGCAAGGAACCGGTGAACACGTTCACGGCGATCAGAGTACCGAGGGCACCTCTAATTTCGACGTCAGCGACCTCCGATACGTACATCGGATTAGTAGTGTACGAGATGCCCACGCCAATGCCGAGAATCATCCTTGAAACGTAAAGAGCAACTACAGTCTGGGCGAAGAAGACGATTGTCCAGCCGACGATGAAGAAACCACTTGCAAACAGAAGGCATTTCTTACGACCGTATCGATCGGCAAGACTGGCACCGAGGAACGGGCCGATCATTGAGCCGATTACCGTCAACGATACGATCCATGAGCCCTGATTATCGGTTATTTTTATTGGGACGTCGCTTGCGCCGGATGTGAGTCGTGAGAGAGATGTGGTGGTCCATCCGTAGACAGTGCCGACCGCTACCATGGATAGAGTCGCTACGAAATGGAGATTGACGGAAGATTAATGGTGATTGATTACCGAATTGATTTTCATGTTACCTTTAAGGGCGCGATATTTCATGAAATATGATGTAAACCTGATATACATGCTAGCCATTGCCTCCATTGAGTCCGTTCTCGCTTTGTCATTTGTTCATCGTGATGTTTGTCCTGGGAAGACGAGACTTGCGTCACAATCTCACCCCTTGGTCCCGCTTCCTTTAGCACGCCAATCTGAGATAGAAATTGATTTTTTAGAGGAAAGACGACAATTCTTTTTGTTGCTGTGTGACGTTTATAACTCGAACTGAAACGATATGAATATTTTAGGTTTCCTTCTTTATTTAGAAAAAATTAATTTTGTAGTTATTCTAAATTTCCTCAGCTGTAAATCTTACAACAATTATAACGCCACTGATTAAAAATTAATCACTATTTTTCGCCAAAATGGTTTACGAAATTAACAATAATAAACTAGAAGGACTATGAGCTGAACAATATCTTTTAATATTCAGAATATAATAATAATCAACATTGTAAACAATACAGACGTTTTGACACCTATTGGATAATTATGTTAAACAAATTTGAATTATAACTTAAAATTAGCAGTTATGCGTATAATCTTATAGTCTAATAAAACATGAAAATATAAAAAATACGAAAAATTACTCTCTCCTATCCAATAAATCCATGTGTTTGTTGGTTCAGACAGATAAATGTGGTTCATCACTGATTGTATAATAAAAATAATAGTCGTATTATAATTATTAAGTATCCTTATAGGTGGATTTTTCCCCTTGTATAAATATAAATTCTTGATTAATGTGAGTCAAACAATAAAACGTAGTCAAAGTTTACAGTCAATAGAAATAAAAATGAAGCATTTAAATCTATATCAAGAAACGTTATATAATAATATTATATATTACATTGTATAATGTCTATTGATATAGATTTGAAATAATTTTTACACTCTGATCTCTATCGCATTATTGATTCTTTTTTTTCTATTGATTGTGAATTTTGACCGCGTTTTATCTTTTGACTCACATGAACCTTTTTATCTTTTAACTCACATTAATCAAGAACTTATATATATGCAAAGGGAAAATCCACCTATTAGAGCACTTAATAATTACGGTTAATACGATTATTATTTCTGTTATACAGTCAGTGATGAACCATATTTAACTGTCTGAACCATCAAACATATGGATTTATTGGATAAGAGAGAGTCCTTTTTCGTATTTTTTATATTTTCATGTTTTACTTGACTATAAGATTGTACTAACTACTAATTTTATGTTATAATTCGAATTTGTTTAACATTGATAATGATCCGATCGATGTCGAGACGTCTATATTGTTTATAATGTTGATTGTTATTATATTCTGAATATTAATATTGTTCGGCTCGTAGCTCTTCTAGTTTATTATTGTTAATTTTATTCTTATTGTGTGAGCCATATTATTATTATTACATTATAACTGTATAACATTATAAGATTTACGAAATGTTTCTGCAAACGCTTGAATGTCATTGTAGATTCAAAATAAACAGCGCATCTAATACTTATGCATACATCTCTTTACGCGTGACGGAATGCAGAAGTCTTTTCCGAAGTGAGAAGCAACAGGTGATAGTGATTAATGTGGCAATGTAAAAAATCAAATGAAAATCCACCTTCTTTTCTTAATTAAAAAACTCGAAAATTCCGCGATTTAATGATCTAAATTGTTATGCGAAAGATTTCACTAATTAGTCTCTGATTTACTGACAATATGAAATTAGAGACATTAGAGTTTAGAAAAAGTTTTAAATAAGTTATTAATGAAAAACATGATGTATCACACACAAGGAAATATTCGTCAAGCGCGAGCAGTCTCGTATAATCACTCAAAACATCCTGTTGTCATCAATTAAAAGTAACATAACTTACCTAACATTAATGTCATAATTTCGCATTCAACAATGTAATGACATGTAATACTACGTGTCATATTACATTCATATTGTTGAGTACGAAATTATAACATCGATGTTATGTTACTTTTACCCGGTAAAAAAATATTGTATACATGAATATATATAAATATGTATAAACATACCTAAACACGCGTAAATGTTAATAAACATATATAATTATACATGAAATATGTCCATACATCTTTCTTTCTTTTGTAAAATTACTTTGTAATATATTAAAATAATAATAATATTGAGAAAACATCAAAAGTACTTAATGGAACAATTTCCGCATTGTTTGTTTTAGAAAAAATCAAGTTTGAAAAAATGCAAAAAAATTTGCTCACATATAACTATGTATAATTTTATTTACATACAATTATATATGAGCAATTCTTTTACATTTCTCCAAATTTGATTTTTCCTAAAACGAACAATGCGAAAATTTTCCTTTCAATTATTTTTGATGTTTTCTTATTATTATTATTATTTTTAGTATACTATACTAAAAAATAATTTTACAAATGAAAGTTGTGAAAATGAGCATTAGTTCTCGTCTGATGTGAGCATTTATCATTCTCCGATTGAGCATGGCATCAAAATATATGTAGCCGCGATCGACTGCACATGCGCATTTTCAAAGAATGATACATCGCTCTTCATGGTCGCGTGTTTGTCCACAACATAACCTAGTTGGATCTCATCAGCGATAACTATTATATACATATAACTATTATACACATATAACTATTATACATATACTTATCGCGATAATATTGACTCTGATAAGCTCAAAACACGCGATAATATTGACTCTGATAAGTGTACGAGCAACGGCAAATATATCTTGGCTTTCGCCCCGTGGTACTTACCAACGTGTTCGCGCACCTTTTCGCGACTTTTCCGAGCCACCGCACGTACCCGCCCGCAAAATGTTTGAAAATCAAGTTGAACGGAACACTCATGCTCGCTTCGTAATCGACGGAACGATATAGATTAACGCTCCGAGTTTATTTTTGGGGACATACCGCGAACGTACGCGACGCGTATATCTGTATAATAAAATGGAGCACACGATTCGAGACACAAGGCATTACGTAAGTCGCCGATGTCGGTCAATGCCCTGTTGCATCCTCCAATGTTGGAACATTCCCCGTTAAGTTCTGCGAGTACCGTCAACGCGGTGAAATCGATCAGATCGATCATATTTGAAAAGATCCTTTTGATCCTTTTACGGATATAGGATATGCTCAAATTTCTTGCTTCGCATGAATTCTCTCTCTCGCTCGCTCTCGCTCTCGCTCTCTTTCTCGTTTGAAATGCGATGCTTTGCCAGTGAATAATTTACGGCTTTGGAAAATTTCTGTAAAGATCATATTTTGCAAGATGCATATTAAAAGATTACGCAATATTATGTGTCCCGTCTGTACTTTCCCATTTTACTTTAAGCGTTCTGTATGAACCGTGTTGAATCATAAAGTATGCTCATAATTAAGACATTCAATTTTGTTGGCGAATTGCAAACCTCACATTTTGAAAAAGATGAGAAATTCCGTACACAATTGCCGTAGACATTCGACGTTATCGCAAACCACGTGTGTTTGTGCGCACACCAGTATGCGCGCTTTCGTGAAAGTGAGATGATACCATTATCGCTCCGTACATACGTGCGTGCATGCATGCGTTTACAACCTCAACTAAAAACGGGTTTTTATCTGACCGTGAAACATACTTGAGAATGCGATAAAAGAAATGCGAACTCGAAAACAAGACGAAAACGATACTTACCAGCGGATCCGTTACTCCTGTCATGCCTTCTCTGTCCCAACCCTTTTAGAACGCGCGTAAATGTATAATCTAATTCTAAAAACAACGTGTTACATGATCGACTAGCCGCTCTTCTCGCAGATGATCACTTTCGCGATTTCGTTAATATAATACTTTGGTCGCGTTCGTGGATCGGATGCGTCGTGAAAACGCGCACGCGCTGATATTCGCGCCTGCATTCGTGTTCGCGCACACACATGATTGCTCTTCTTCCTTGTATCTCTTTTTTTTCTTTTTTACGTCATTCTCTCCCGACATTCCACGTTCACGATCCCTCCTTCTAGCAACTGTGATATTTATAATCATCGAGATGGTAGAGGTCACCGGTTGTCGGTTCTCACCAACAGTATTTCGTAAAGAATTTAATATTAATAAATATTACAAGAACCAATTAATATGATCTTTTTCAAATAAGTTAGAAACACAAAATTAGTATGAAAATTGATTGACAATGCACATCGATTATCAAACTAATTACTATTTAATTATCGCAAATTAACTAATATAGTATTAATAGTACAGTAAAATTATAGTTATAATATTAGTAATATAGTATTTAATTATATATAACTAATTATAGTTATATATATATATAACTATAATTATTTTGTTACGTTTTAAGAAATTTATATAACGAAACATTCAGATAACGGAAGACAGCAGAAATCGAAGATAGAGATATATGATGAAAATTGTATTCTATATTATTAAAAATTGAATTAAATTTAATTATCCAAAAATTAATACAGTACAAAGAATATTAAGAATAAAAAATTTGTTTGTTTAATATAAGTCTGACCGTGGATACAAGTACAAATAATAATATACATAAATTAAATATTGAAGTATTGTATTGCGTGCGATATGTTTTGCGTTTGTTTACGCGATAACGAAATCGGAACAGCGGCGCATTGCAGCTACGACGCGCGAACAGAACTGTGTCACTTACACTCGTGGTTGCAGCCATGTGAGACGAGAATGGAACTGCTGCCCTATTTCTTCTGGTGAGATTCCGAAGCTTTAGCCTTCAACGACGAATCCAACAAGTAGTTTCCTCTTTATTGAATACTCTTAATTTCAGGTCACTCGGACATCGATACTTTCAATTGAAAACAATACGATATGTTGAAACCATAATACAGTTACCATTACATTTTTCGACAAGTTTCGCTAAATATCGATGGCTCTTTCACTGAAGATTCCACTATCTTGCTAAAGATGGAGCAGTATTGCTGAAATTGCTATTGTCTTTTTGTGTTCTTTTTGCTTGCGAAAAAAAAACGATCATCTGATTTTTACTCTCCTGACTAAAGAAAAATCGACTTAAAAAAAAGCGTGCGCATTTAAAAAGTTTATCAAAATTTAGAGCAATTAGCCGGAGATTTTCTATCAGAAAACCGGAGATTCGTTCAAAAAACTGAAATTGCAAAAAGGGAAAAGTGACAATCGCGGTTGGAACATATTTAATAGAATGTGATCGGCGTATCCTTTTTAACTAATATTCACTAAATTTTTCAAATGTTCGTAGTTGTTTTTCAAATTACGGCTTTTTGATAATGTTTAATTATTTTAAATATTAGGATTATTTTTTAAATATTGAAACAGTGAGATTTTCAGCGAAAGAGCCCTTGAGATTTAGTGAAGTTTTTGTCAGAATGTGACAACCATGATTCTAACCTATTTAAATTATTTTAATTATTTAAAATTTTTCTCTCTCTCTCTCTTCTTTTATCTCTCTTTTATTTTTCACTCTTCAAATCACAGTCGAAATGAATAGACAATGACAAGTAGAAATACACGGCAATACTACTTTACTTGTTCCACAAGAGGACTACATATTTATTATATTTATATATATGTATATATGTATATAATTTTAAAGTTTATTTCAAGGAAATATTACTGATCGAAAATTATTACCCACCGTCTATACACTCACCGCGATCGCACGATTCACTTCGACTGACAGTTCGAAATAATTTATTTAATCTTTATTACTTTACCACTGTTTTTTTTCCACTGTTCTATTCTCGTATCTACTTAACGACACACGAAGGTTGCAATAAGCGACTAATTATCAGTCAGTTTCAGCGGTTGTTTCGTCAGTTCTTCCATCGTTCGCGACAAGCTGAACACTAGTAACTTTTGAAATCGAAATCGTGTTGGACTGAGTCAACTGCGTCTCTCTCTTATCGATGCGGTCTGATCAATCTAGATCTAATATATATCTGTTACTTCATAATCAACAGAGCCACGGTACAGACCACTCACTACCGCCTTCGCTTTAATTGGCCTTAATCCGACTGTCGTTAATGATAAACTGGTACAAATTAAGTACCATTACGCCTAGAAATAATGATTAAAGACCCGTGAGTCTTCTTTTACTGATTGGTACGAACAACATCGATCGTTTTCACTAGCTAGTGCTTTATGGTCCATGTCCGGAATGGGGATATAGCCTAGTGCTATCTTCGTTTTCTTATCTTCATGTTTTCCATTATCTTAGTAGTGAGCCGATATTTTCACCCACGAAGATTTGTCGCGGTTTATCTCACGTCGCGCATCTGCGATATATGTGAGTCTCAAACAAACCGCGATGATATAATTGTTAATTGTCGCTGGTGTGAAAATGTCAAGCATCGAGTTGAACCACTCAATCGATCCGTACGAACAACTCGATTTATTCATGTCCTATCCGCCATCGTCAGAATCCATTAACGTTGAATATAGAGAAAGACAGAAACATAAGCAATGGGAATTTTGTCTTCGCTTTTTTTATTGGATAGGCAAAGCCCAAAAGGGGCGTAGCCCAAAAGATACGCTTTTACGTCAACCTTTTTGCTTCTACTGAAAAAGGGAATTTATCGGCCAGAGTCTTAATCGTGCGCTTTCGGCGATTCAATAACGGGAACAACAAGCACGCGATGCGTCAAAGGGATTTATTGCGTTTCAGAGTTAAGCTGATTGCGTTTCGACGCGGATAGTTTCGGTTCTCTTGGAATACGTGCGATATGGGATAATCTGACGTTTTAAAGCTGTGGCTTTGCAGAAGTCTAATGATTCGTTGAATTTATTCAGACGTGACATATTAATAAACTAATCTTTGATTGTTACTGCAATCACAAAGAGAATAATGTATATTTTTAGCTATAAAACACGTAATTAACAAATTTATCATATGGTTATTAAGAGGATTCCGTTGGATTCCATTACTTCCTGTTGTACGTCACTACTTCATATTTAACATTTTAAAGGCAAATTTACTTCGAGACTTTGTCCAAACAAGTTTATATGTTTGATGATACCGTAACATTGATTATCACTTATTCAAACAGTTTGAATATTCAATTAATCAGATTACTTTTTACGACGGAAGTCTGTACTGACACAAATTCTAATCATACAATAGAACCCATTTACTTCGTTTTCTCTAAATACTAAGATCCACTGTCATTCAACACGTGTGTCAACTTAATTAATCATAAGAATATTGACGGATCAAGCTTAATATATTATTAACGACCAGCGAACGTCACGCGCTTATTCCATGATTAATTTCTATACAAGCTTTGGATTCAATTGGTAAATACAAGAATAATTTCAATGTAATAGACATTTATATTTGTAAATGAAGTACATTGAATTATCCGAACGTTTTAATAGAATTGTAAGAAATAAGCGATAACATGAGAAAAATATCAGGGCGCTCCGAGATTCGAATCGAGGCCTGATCTCCTCCGTGATGGTAGACTTCCGTCCTACTACTAAGCCACACAGCCCTGATGCTAGTGGTTTCTCTGTTGTGTCTACTTCTTAGTAAATATCTTATAGAATATCGTTAGTCCAGGTTGAAATTTACGTAAAGTTATATAATTTAAAATTATTAAATAGGCTGTTTAGATACAAATACTATATACCAGTATTTATATGTTTGTAACAATTCCTAAGTTATTTAATATATTATAGTATAGTATATAATAGTTATTTAATATTTTATTATTAATTATCTCATGCAACATTGTCAGCAAGATTATTATTATCATGTTGCATTTCATGTTTATATTTCGAAATGTCGCTTTATACTACTTGCATAAAACCGTCATCGTGAATGCATAATTAATTTATGAATGTTATCTTCCTAATAACTGAAAATAGCTTTTCACTTTGCAACTGACTGTTTCAAAGAACTTTTCGATTTTAGGCGCCACCATTGATGAGATAAGAATATCTTGATAATAGCAGTTTCGTAAGAATTTCTCAACCGACAATACAAACAACCACTATAGCTTAACTCTTCTGTTTGACAAGACACATTATAATAGACTGAATTCAACCTATAAAAAAACCGTCGCGCGCGCGCGCGTGTGTGTGTGTGTGTGTGTGTGTGTGTTAGATCTGTCTTTTATCAATTTTGTTGGGTTTTGCATATGTAAAGCATCAAAAAATATTTACACCCTGATTTTTTTATCTGTTTATCTCAAAATTTAGGATTTGAAATAACACCTCGAAAATAATAAATTTTTTCATTTTTATATCTTCGAAACTGTAAGATAGATGAAAAAATATTTTGTACAAAAGTATATGGTATTTTATATTCTTGATAACAGTGTATTTATATTTTTCGAAAATGTCAAATTAATTTAACCCTATCCTCAAGGTTTATTTCGTCGCCTAAAAATTGAAATAAACAGATTTAAAAAATATGGAGATAAAGCCTGCCGCACACGATGCTTGTTTTTCTGCTGGATTCCTAGCTAGATTAGAATCTTACCATCGTATTGGCCGCGGTACTGATAATGTCAGCATCGTAGCCAATACGGTGGCAAGAATTTATTCTAGCTAGCAATCCAGCAAGAAAACAAGCATCGTGTGCCGCCGGCTTAATACAATATTTTTGATGCTGTATAACCTATTCAAAGCCTATCAAAATCAGTAAGGGATATTTCCGACTGTTTCCTTGCTGTGTTTTAATGATCTACTGAGGATAAATTCGATCTGGAACTAAATTATCTCTAAATCATATATAAAAATATTTATAGTTTTTTTTTTAATTGTATACTATTACTATCTTTTGGCAATTTTTCAATTTATTTCTTTCATTATGTGTAAGTGATGAGTAATCCCGCATAATATTATAATCCTTTATAAGTCTTGAAAGCGAGAGAAAAAGACAGAAATTTGTACTAAACAAATTTATTCTACTCTCTCGAATAAAGTAATGGTATGTCTTTTATCGACTTAATGCATTTCGCGACAAATTACTTCAGTCTGTATCTCTTGTAATCACGTAAATCGTCATTATCTTAACAATTTCTGTTATCTTAACAACTAGTTGCTACATTAGTTGCACGAAAATTTTCGATCTTAACGAATTAACGCGGTACGATTTGTCCTGGTGAAGAATCGCTCGAGCTTCGTTCGAGCACAACTCGGCTGGTTGTGCTTCGCATCGTTACGTTGCGAGCGTAAAGTTAATTAAAGTAATCCTCAGTTAATCGACGTCATCTAGAGCCCGGAGTCCGCACGCTCGCGCACGCTCATTATGTCGCCTTTACAATCGCGAATGTGCGCGGAAACGCCTGCCGCTCAGAGCGATTAAAATTTAAAGTGGCGCACTCACCATTTGCTCGGTGAAATGAGCCTGGCGAAAATATCGACCTGACTCTTTTGACTTTTCTCTGCACTTCCAGCCAAAAAGCGCGTGTCTATTTGTCTGTCCGTTCGTTAATATAACATCTGCCTTCGTTATTCCGCAGTAGACATTTAACAAGGTGTAACGTGGTAATATTTTCGACACATAACAAAATTAAAATCTAAATTCTTTTACATCTGATTTATTTTAAAAAATTGTAACAAAATCAATAATTCTCCATATATAGAGAACAATTTTGATTCGATTATAACAGATTCGATTTATGTAGCAAAAAAGATCAATTTAGGCTTTCCGTACAAACTATTCATTTGAAAATTTATTCGAAATGCTCTCAAAATCTGCATAATTTATCGAAATATTAATTTTATTTCTTTTATTCGTTTGTTTGCGTGCTATCACGCTATATATTTTCTTCTATATATTGTCCTGCGTATCGAGTATAAAGCACTATAGTCGAGAGATACAGGATGACATCCAAAGCTTGTATAACGAATTCGATGAAATATCGATGTTTCAATCCCCAGCGTTCCTTTAATCTATTTTTTTCCTATCTCAGTTCCACTGATAAATCCATTTATCCATCCACAGTCAGACATCCATAAAGCTCTTTTTTTCATATCAAAGGATAGGATATTAAGAGTGAAGAAAGAGATATGTTCATTAAGCTTTCTGCGTGACAGTTGACAGACTTTTGCGGTAAGATTTTTATCGGAATCGAAAAAATAAATATCGAGAAAGATTCTTGTAGGAAGATTTACGGTTCCCTTTGCAAATGTACAGAAGGAGATTTGATTAAATTCGAATTGATATGAATTTTGCCTTTTGAAAGCAGGCTTCACGTTCGATCTTGGGCCACTGTACCGCCATAACGAGTGCCCTGCACGTCGTATTATGCGGAATAAATCAGCGCTGATGCGGGATTATATAAGACATTAATCTTTTCGAGACGCACGATTTTTCACCCTCTTATTGATCTCTTAACAAGAGCAATGACTTTCGACGTTTCACGAGCCTGTGGACGGCTACGTGTTCGCAATGAAAAATTCATGAGGCGCTATGTAACGCATATGTAACACGCTTGCGGTACATAAGACACGATCCGTGGTAATCCCTGATTCGTATCGACGTTGTGTCACGCGAATCATAATTGTCGCGCTCACTGAAAGTATAGGATTAAATTATTTATGGATACTCCGTCGTATATGATGTCGTAAAATTACGAATTCTTTGTTTAAAAACACTTTTTACTATTAAATTAATGAATATTTTAGTAACGATATTGCTGTTTCATAAACCGCGAGGTGTTTGTTATAGATTTTTACAAAATTTCGAGGTGTAAAAGTCAGACGAGAAAAAGAGAGTTTACTGCGCGAGAATGAAATTCTCGCGCAGTAAACTCGGTGTACATTTTTCATGATGTACGTTCTTGTAAATTTTCGCGAATTGCTCGGCGAGAGAGTTGCCAGTTCTCCCTCTAACTACATAGATCTCTTATATTAAAATTCCATATATTTTTATTGTCTCATTTACTGCTCTTAAATGATATGAATTACACATGTTCGTATTTCATTATTCTATTTTTTATTTTATTTAATATGTTTCATTTAGCACATTATTTAAATTAAATTAAGTAAACATTATTTAAAGTCGATAGATTAAAACAAATTGTTGATAAAACCTTATCAGAAATCATTGGCGCGTGAAGTTTTTCTCGAAGATATTTGCAACTCTTTAAAAAAGAAAGCTTATGGCGTATTTCTTCTTCTTTAACGGCGCCATATAAAGATCGATTTATTTATGAAGACACAGCTCAAATAAAAGCACAAATATTTTCTCAGCTGTACAGCTCTCCAAATGAAATAGAATCTGCCTGTATTATTTGATTTGTTGTTTACTATACTGTATGTAAGTGCATACGAGAATTACCTAGCCAATAATACGTGTATTAATCGTGAAAGAAGTATTCAGATTTCGATAATGAAGAGTTGATTAGTATCGCTCACATATTATGAAGATGATTTTTATGTAAGTGACAAAGCGTGAAATTTTGATTTGGAAAGCTAGTTTGCACTATTGAGCGAACTGATGTTATAACTTCGTTATAAACCTTTCAGCAATGAGATAACGCAATAATAACTTACATAAACGACTGATTTCATATCAGAGTTGACAGTCGCTAGACTAGACTGTTAAATGTTACAATTAAACCCACACTAACTCGCGCAGCTTATGCTTTCTGTATAGCGGATTAAATAGCGATCAATGGCTATATGATATGAATTAGTGAATGAATTAGGTACAAATCAATTGCAAAATACGTAACAACAAATTAGCAAATAGTTTAATCGATGTATTTAGTCCGCTTCAAACAGCTTATCAGACTTACAATACGCTTGAAAATTTGAAAACTAAAAACTTGTAAATTTGCTTTTGCTTATTGCCAATTTTTTGAATGAGCGATAAGTTTGTATTAAAAGTCATCTTATAATAAATATCATTTAATATAGTCATAATGCTTATGGTATTAAATTCATAAGGTGAAATTATATTCGATTTGAGCTATTTTTAATCATTTCCTTAGGTCTTCACTGCTCTTATTCAGTGTTATTAATTTAACTAAAACAATAGAGTTAAATAATTTGACTCAAATTTAGTTTATTATTTATTAAGTACATACGTTAATATATTTGTTGTTTATTTTGAAACTCATAATCATAAAAATGAATTGACTTATATTTTGACACACATGGAAGTTAAAAGAATTGAATTATCATTGCTCCTTTGATGTTTAACAGTGTATTTGAGCAATTTCTTGAAAAACAACATTTTATAAAAAATAAGAAACTATGAGAAAAGTGAGTAAGAGAAAAATGAAAGATTAATGAAATTTCTACAAAAAACTTTAAAGTAGGGTGAATGCACCGTCCATGGTCACCTTAAGCATTTCTATAACTAAGAATTTTTTTTAAATAATACATAAAAAGGAGATACTACTTAAATACATCGTTTAATGTCTTAGTTTTTAATATTCAAAAAAGTTTTAAAGAAAAAAGCGAATGTATAATGAAAAAGTTAAATAGTTATAAAAATTCCATTTTGCACCATTTTTGGCCACCTATATACCTGCTATCATTACGAGGCTGGCTACTAGTATTGTCTGCTATACTTGTGTCATATGTAGTCATATTGATAAATTATTCTACTTACCGCGTTTCGGGGATTCTTATCGTTTTTGACAAGATGACTGTCTTGAGTGTATTCCGTAGAAAATAATTTTTTTATAATATATGAAAGAAGAAATGTGAGGTTACTTGTCAAATTATTAAACAAGAGAAATAATCGCAACGTGCATGTGTCTGCGCACTAGAGCTAATCAAAACTAGAAGAACTTAATAAACAGCGAAGGTGGCCAAAATGGGTGCAGTGGCAACAAACGGTGTATTCACCCTATTCCATCATATTTGACAATAGAATATGATTTAATAGAAGCGAAAACTGCATATTATGATAATTTTCTCTTTTTCGCATTTCCCTCGTGACGAGCTCTACTAACTTTATTTTTTTCCTTACTCGCTTAATAGCGACAATTATGTGGTTGCACATGCTTCTGCTTTAGCTCCCGTGTGGCGCGGTAATTAATCAGAGCATAACAGCGAGTTGCGAATGGAAGTCGTATGCATAACATAATCTCTAATGATCATGCCGAGGCTGAATTTTTATTCGCTTTACATGAAACACGTATATATACAGGGTGGGCCAAAGTCTGGATACACCCAAATATCTCATAAACGATACATTTTAGAAAAAAATGTTTCAAACAAAAATTGTAAAGCAAAGACGCATTTAACGATAGTACTATCGTTAAATGCGTCTTTTTAAGCTTTACAATAACAAGTTATATATAACAAGATTATTAAAACCTTTTAAGTAATTCACATGTTTTGCGAAATTTGTTAGTGACGCAGTATTATTTTATATATTCTAATTGTTTTCGCGGCTTAATATAAGCTTGTGAAGACTTACCTCACGAAGAGAATGATTTCACAATCCAAATGCACATCCATCCTCACTTGTCTTCGCCGTTGTCATGGAAGCGACAGCAACTTAGTCGCAATTTAATTGCCGTCCTTTACTTTATTCATCTAACTGAGAGAGAGTCTGGCTATGGAAGTGATGAAGAAACAGAGCGATAGGAAGAGTCGAGAGGGAACGGAGTGCGGCAAACAGAAGGAAAAGAGCTTAACTTTACTTTGAAACTTTGGCGAGCAAGGCTACCCCACGGGAAATCAATGTCTGACTGTTCAAAGAAGAAAGTCGAAGAGGATGGGGACAGTGATCGCGTGTGTATGCGTGACTTGGTTTATGTGTGATGGTTAATTTGATAACCAACTCATACTGGTTATCTCTCATCTCCAATCTCTATTTCTTTCTCTTTGACTTCTTCCCGCGAACTTTTTGCTGTTGCTTTGCCAATTTAACTTCAAGACGAAAGGTTGGAAGGAAAGTAGGTACGACGAAAAAACACTCTCAAATAATTAAATAGGAGATCTGCATTTTACAAAGCAATAAGTTACACGAGAATCCTTACACGCGAAACCAAAGCCCCAATTCGAGTCGTGGCACGCCTTTCTTGTCCTCCTATCATGCTTTTCTTTTCTTTCATTCCGTTTTATTATACAAATATGAAACATAATTAAGTTTGAAGGCAGTGGATCGCAAGGATAAAAAGCGCAATGGGTCCTTTCCTATGTAGAAGATCGTTCTCGAGCTAATTCCACGTGAGAAAATATACATGCGGCATATATATGTGCTGTCGAACAAAAATACGAATATAATCTAAAATATCTAATATATCTAAAATTTAAATTTGTATCGGTATTAAAACCGAGAATAAAATTTCAATTTGTCACTTCGCAAAACGTTGCGATATTCCCACTTATATTTTTCTAATGAAAAGATATGAAGCTTTTTTTGTTTGTACCGAAAATGCTACATTTCGATTTTTGTTCGATAACACAACGTGCGCAATTCTCATCAACATTCACATTCGCATTTGCGAAGAAATGGCTCGAATTCTTGTGGAAGACTGGAAAGGGACGACGTCGTTGTCATCGACGTTTTAAAAAATGAATAAGATAATAGCACCGCGGATGCACGACCAGATGCGACGTGCAAATATTAGCCACGACATCGAGATTTTCAGGGAATTATACATAGTTAGCACCTAAAAAGTTTATCATCGCTCGTAGAGAATGGCCACGCAATTAATTAGCTTAATGACCATTATTTCATAAGTTTGATTTCGTCAACTGCTAGCTCCTATGCTAGTTTAATTCGCCTTCGAAATGACTTTATTCCCTACAACAGTGAAGAAAGAACGCCAAATCTTTCAGTAGCGTTATTCAAGTAACACAAAATGAAAATCTATCGTGACCGCATGTAGTTACCGCCCTTTCGTAATTTTCGCAGTCTTTCATCTCTCCGGACTGTTACTCTAGCCTTATCACTTTCATGTTCGGTCATACGTTAAATACGGGCGGCTATAGAGTTCTATTCGATGTCTCGGATGCGCGGAAATCCATCTACGATCTGATTCATTGATCCCGATTCAGTCGTACCTTCATTTCGATCGGATTCGATGTCCGATGATGGCTCGGATCAATCACTAAAAAAGATTTTCTTCTTTTATAACTAAATCGAACAGTGACAAAACGATTCATTCACAAATGAAACGTCACCATGTTTAAAATGCATTTGAAATTATCTCATATTTTTAGAATGTTGCATACGCTACCTGTCACTGTTTTCGCTGGTGGCTTCCTCGCTGCAGTCCAAGTCAAGTTCCCCTTGAATAGCACTCTGTAAATCGTCGATCCTTTGAAGCGCCAATCTGAGGTCATCTCTAGCCACCTTGGTTTCAACCTCCGCGGCTTCCAAAGATTTCTCTATGTCACGTCGAGCACGTACGGCCTCCTGCTCTCGCGATATTGCAGCGCTAGCTTCGTCGCGTGAATCGCGTAAAGATCGTTGCAGTCGTCTCGCCGCGTCTTGAGCGGTTTGCTCCTTCGTTCTAAGTAAGGCTGATTCAGTTTGTAACTTGTCGACGCTTTCCTTCAACCGTGCTATTTGCGTCTATGAAATAAAGACGAAGCAAATAGTTATCGTTTAGTGGATTCAATTCACTTATTCAATGTTCACATATTTTCGAAAAAAAAATTAATTTAGAGGATATTACATTTTTTAATTTAATATTTAGTTGAAGTTTGATGTGAGATATGAAGTTGGTGAGATATAGGTTCAGAAAGTCAAGTCAAATAATTCACAATTAGTGAAAGATGAAATTCCGACAATACCTCCAAACGCGCTCTCGTAGTCTGTTCCAGTTCGAGCTTGCTTTCCAGCTCCTTGGCACGGAACTCCAAGCGTCTTGTCGCAAGACTGTTTGCCGTTGGATCACCAAGTTGCTCCACTGATTCTAATCTCTGCGTTAGTTCTGCTAGTTGATCCTTCAATGATGACTTCTCCGCTTCGAGTGCGGCGATTTGCACTTGTGCCTCTTGCAATTGGCCTTGCTCCGCAGAGACTTGTTGCACTGCAGCTCGATATTTCTTTAAGACCTACAATTGGAGAATAAAATCCAATTACTTAAAATTACTTTATCTCTATATAATTTGTATTAAAAATAATAACTACTGTGTATATACACACACATATATATATATATTATATACCAAATTGGCAATTTTACAAAAGCTGTTGCGCACTTTAACCATTAGAAGTCACATTCCACGAAAATTGAAAGAGAAAGAGATTATTGATTAATTATTATAAATATTAATTACTTACTGCTTTTTAAGACATGAAATAAGATAACATACCTCAGCAAGCTCTTCCTCGTTTTCTTCTAACTGAGACAACAATTCTGAACGTTCGCGATTAGCCGCATTGGCTCGTTCCTCCGCCTCAGAACGCTGTCGCATAGCTTCTTCCAAAGTTGCTTGCGTTTCATTTAGTTCCTGTTCCAATGCTTGTTTCGCTTTAATCGCTACTGCTCGAGCGCACTCTGCGTCTTCCAATTGATTTTTCAATTGACGCAACGCAGCTTTACCTGTCGAATCGCCTTTGGATCTTTCGAGCATTGTTTGTGCATCTCTTAGTAACGCCTTTGTTCTCTTCAAATCTCTCTTCAATCTGTTTAATTGCACGCGTATAACAAATTTTTGACTTATTTTTTACTCTTATCACACAAATAAAAAATTTTTCTAAAATAAATTGCGAAACGAGACAGTATAGAAAAAGAATGTAAAATTTTGATAATCACCTTTGCATGGTCTCAGCTTCTGCCGCACGATCGGCTCGATCTTGTTCTTCTAGAGCTACTAAACGGCGCTCCAATTCGTGCTTTTCCCTTAAAAGAATTGTCCTCTCCTCATGTTCGTTCTCCAACTGTGACTCGAGAGCTTTAACCTTTTTGTGCGCGTTTCCACGAACATCCTCGAGCTCTTCGTCACGTTGCTGCATTTCTTTACGCATTTCTTTGCGCTGCTGCTCGATGCTCATCTCCAGTCTGAGTTTCGCTTGCTCGAGCAGCTGCACTTGGCCGGCCAGATCATCCAATTCTTCTTCTTGGTCCTTTGCGCGTTTCTCCAACTCGTGTTTAGCCTTCTTCAGTTGCGCAACTTCCTCTTCCGTTTTACCGCCGAAAGTTAGTTCTTCTAACTCTTGAGTCAATGTACGAAGTCTTTCTTCCTTGAGCTCAATCTCTAATCTTGCGTCCTATTATAATAATATACTCAGATATATACACAATATTGTATTTAACTTTCTTAGTCTGGGAAAACGAGAAGAATAAGAAGAAAAATGTACTCACGCTCAGATTCTGCTCCACTGTGAATTTTTCCGCGATAGCAATCTCTTTTTCCCTCGCTAATCTTTCACGTTGTGCTTTCTCTTGTCTAAGATCATTCATCAGATTTTGAGTCTCCGAATCGAACCTAAAAATATGATATTAACATAATAAATAAAAAAAAACGTTTATTTTGTGATTATAATAACAAGTTTTGTATATTGTTAAAATTTACACACACATAACAGAATTAAGTATCATTTCGTATATTCTTAAAAATAGGTAAATACATATAGACTTAAAGATAATAAGGTTTTTAACAATATTTTGCAAGAAGAACGTTTCCATGTATATTTGTGACATTCGATAATCCACCGGAGTTAAGAAATTAATTTATATTTGAATATACCGTGAATTAATTATATTTAAAATGTATTAGAGAATGGACTGACAGGGAAGAGATTTCGGGAACAAATCCAATCTCACTATTGTAACGAGATCAGCTTTAACCGCCAGTGGCGTGTGCTGCATTTAGATTAACAGGAAGCTATCTTCGCAAACGGTCAATCGTGATTTACAGGCACACCGGATGCGTCGCCGAACGCTGGCAGCGTTGGGTGGCGTCACCGGCCTGGCGAAGTGCCAGAGACACTTGTTGCCGCGAATGAAATGAGAATAGAGCGAGCTACCTCTCAATACTAACTCTCGTCGACTATTAGCCGCAGATTAAATGCACTAGTATATCTCAAAGCGTGACAGAGCGTCCAATTCGCGCGAAGTCTGTAATTTTGTTGACTTATTATACTACGAAACTCACTTGCGCTGCTTCTTCTCGAGGAGGTTGTTCCTAGCAGTCTGTTCCTCTAACAGCAATCTGATATCGTGCATCTCGCCGTTCAGTTTCTGAACTCGTCGCTTCCATTGTCCGACGACTTGTCGTTGCTCCTCCACTTCTTCGTAAGCATCGGCTAACTATTTGGCGAAACAAGAAGAACAATGATGAAGGTGATGCTTGTCGCGATAATAGGAATAACTTGATGTACCTTCTTTTCTAATTGTTTCTTCAATCCGACCAGTTGCTCCAGATCATCCTCGTGTTGTTGCGCCATTTTCCTCTTTGTGAATTCGAGTTCGCGGATAGCGTGCTCGTATCGTTGTCTGTAAACACCGCCGTCCTCGCCTTCCTCGCCATCGGAAGCGACCCCGTTCAAATCAGCAGCTCTCGCATAGAGCAATTCCATCTCCAATCGTTCGGTGGTCTGTTGAAGATTTTTGTTAGCTTCAGTTACATCTTGCAACTCACGTTCGAGTCGCAACCGCTCCGAAGTCTCAGCATCAATCCTTTCTGCCGCCAACGTCGATGTAGAATGCTCCTCCGCAAAGTCCGCGGTCATCTCGCTCAGCTGGAACAAAAAAACGCATATTGCATAAGGGAATCGAATATGACACGCTATATACGCAAACCACAGATCAACATTATTCCCGCCTTGTACTGTTACTTTCTGCATTCTGCGTCTTTTAGTTTTAGATATTTCTAAAAGTTGAAATAAGATAAATCGTATACACTTATGGAAATTATTTTACATTACAAAGCTTTCGATTTTCGATAAAAGTAAATCGTTTTTTAGAGCTCTGTACGTTTCATTACCTCCTGCATTCCATCCGAGGTGCGATCCTCCGAAGCGCGAGACAAGGAGCGCCTCGATGGACTCTTTGCTACGCTGTTCGATCTACTATAATATTGATAGCCACGTATCATAATATTTGTAGCGCTCTGACTCCTTCCGATTATGCCGCGAGATTTGTCTCGCGCGTACTGCAAACTTATCGGTTCGTCATCTATTTCATCCCGGTGACCAAGGCTTCGCCATTCGTCCATAATGTGATCAGTACGTTTCAAAAACTGAGAGATCTTTGACGAAAGATATGACGAGGCGGTTGACGAATCTAAATGAGACGCAGTAGGTCTGAAAGATTGCTTCACCCTCTGCCGTTCGCAGCCCAGGACGAAGTTGAGACTCGCGTCGAAGACAACCGGCGCTTGTTCTTTGACTAGAACATCCCCAATCAACGGCGAACATATGCTCTCGCGAGGATATGTCCTTCGCGGCGGAGTTGAAAAGGTCGGCGATTCCAGCTGAGACAATCGGCTCCGTGAGGAAAGAACGGATGGCGATCTGGTCCCGACAGATAAGGATTTTGCGCGATAGGTAACGTTGGAAGAGATGCTGCACGGGGAAGGACTTCGTATTGTGCGATTCGTATTACCAACAATGTATCCTCTGCTAGGTGGTTTTTTCTGATGGCTACAATGTGGGGGCAAAGGTGGTCTTTTTGCCAAGCCCGCAGAGTTGGATAAACTCGGTAAACCATTGCTTATTGAGTCGTTTCTTTCAAGCGTTTCGTCAGAGCTGGTAGATGTTAATGCGTTCAGATGCTGCGGATTATTATGAGAGGGAGAAATAGTACTTGGGTACTTCGTTGGTAGGGAAGGCATCTTAAGGAATACGTTGACTCAGGGTTAAAATCGACTCAAGGATATTAGTTTAGCGTATGATTAATATAATCATAGGAGCGAGAGATGGATTATCTAAGCTTCTGAAGTTGATGTTGTTGCGATTGGCATTTCAATTAGCTTTCTTCCGCAGCTTCATTTGTGCTGTATCTAATGGCCGAGATGCTGAATACTCGTCACATTACTACGGCAAATTACGTAACGACGAACGACGACGAGGACACCCGTGTCGGCAAGGAGTCGCGATGCAACTGCCTCTTCCTGGGTCGGAACCGGCGGAGGCGTCCGGTGGAGGAGGTGGTCACCTCCGAGTTATTCTAAGGGGAAAGTGGCTAGAAGGAGAAGACCGGTGAGGGAGATGAAGATGGAGAGAAACGTGCGAAACGGTGATTCTGGCTATTTGCCAAGTTCCCCGTAGATTTTATGAGAAAAATATCGAGAAAGAGAAACGTAGAATTAGCAATTTGATAGAAAATGTAGAAACTTGCATCTCTCTACATTTATAAAAATAGAATGAATGAAAACAGAAAGAAAAGTTTCCGTATCGTAAAATACGATTCCAGCGTGCTAATGCAAGGACAGAAAAAAAATTATCATGCGAAATTTATTACCATTTATTAGTTACTGGTGTAATAAATGGTGTAGTAAATGGTGATTTTGTTTAATTATTTGTTGTTAAATGATAAGAAAGAGCAAAACGGTATTTTCTTGAGCAACTGTTCTTCTTATGAAGATGCATTGATTGCCAGCATTTTTATGTATTAACCGCAGATTAAAATGGTAATGTAACGTACAGTCGAGTCACGATAATAGTTGCGCACGCTCGACACGAGTCGTCTGGCATGCTTAACCCAATTGCGCGGCGTGCGTGCCGCGAATGCCTAATCGGGCAGTTTGAGCTTAATGCATCCTTCGAGACTGCCTCTATTAGGTTTATCATGTGGTCACACGCGAAATCGTTGTGGTGGATAATAGAACACAGAGGCGTAATTTGCAGCACGGATTCTGATTTAAGAAACGGACGTTTAAGCTACTCAAGATATTTTAACCGTCGCGAGAAAAAAAGATATTTCGCAATTAGAAATGAATATTTACGTTGAATAATCTCACGGCGTTAACTCACCTTTGCCTCTAGCTTGTCATTGTCATGCTTCAGGTGATTACGTTCCTGTTCCAAGCGTTCTACTTTTGCCCTGAGAAGCTCGAGCTCTTCCTATTGAAATGAAAAGAAGAAATGTTTAGATAAATTATATGAAAAACGTATATATTATATGGAAAATATTTTTCTCTCTCACCGTTCGAGCCTTTAGCTGATCTTCGGTCCGATGGACGTTCAACAAGGGCGCAACTTTCACATACAATCTCCACCAAGGCCATTCTCGCACGGACATTAGCTTCCTTACGTTCCTTTGGATGCATCGCACTGCAAGATCTTGCAGCTGTAAGAGAATTTAATTTACAATTCGATCCGGACTGTCATTATACAGACTGTCGTAAATTATTACTAAAGAAAGTGCGAACGGCGTGAAGACATCTACTACATTCTATCTTTCTTTCGTTAATTGCTAGATTAAAGACCTTGGAGATCTCTATAAACGCGCCGCAAATTCTTTGTGGATTTAGAGCCATTAGTAGGAATGAGATTGCAATTTTTAAACGAAAGTTTTAATTTCTGTATTAATTGAATAAAAGGAAAGAAAGTGTTTTGTTTGCAATTTCTTACGCGCAATTAAAAACTTTCTTTCGAAATTTTAACGTGATCATACAGTGTATTTCAATTTGAAAAGAGAGCATAAGTGACCCACTTTCAAAGTATTGAGTTTGCGCCGCGCTAAATAGCCTCTGCATCTCGCCTGCAGCAGAATAATGTGGCCTGTGAGTTTTTCATCCCTCTGAGCTTCTAATCGTTCCAGGGTACCAGATCTGAAGAATATCTGTGAACACAAGAGTGGACATCTGTCGATTTATACTTATCGATTAATATTAACTAGCCTAGATTAACCGGTATTTTATCGTTAGAATCATTTTAATTAAATGCATACTTTGCCCATTTGCGTACGAACGAATAAGAAAAACCGCACATTAAATTTGAGTTCAGAGGCGACGATAAATGTTAAATATGCATGGCATAGTTTTCAGCTTGCATCTCGTATGGTAATGAAGGATGAACACATATAACTTCTGGAGCGTAAAGGCGCATCGTGTGCCGTGATATCTTGATTGCATTAGAGAGGAAATGTTTTACATAATACTATGCAACAAATATAGTGGATATTTAACAGTTACATTGACAAAGTGACTTTCAGTTTTTATAATATGTCATGCATCGTTATGAGTTGTTGAACAAATGCAAGTTTCAATAGATTTTAATCGAAATTTAGGTAGCGATAGTAATTTTTTATATAAGGAGTATATAAAATTAAAACATTAATAGAAGAAGGAAAATTTTAAATGATAAATTTATGTAGTTATGCTAGATCTCTAGTAAAAGTTTTGCTGAAGTAGATAAAAATTTAACTACAGTACAGATCTAAAAATAATGTTTGTTGAATTCAAAATATGTAATTGTATAGAACGCTCAAAATTGATTGCTATGTCAAAACTTTTTGTAGCATTGTTTATCATGCTTGAAATTTCTTCGTAATTATTTTGATAGTCCAATAAAATTATTTTTAAATCGTCGATTATCTAATCAATCCTTGCATTATCAAGCATTATCTATAGTTAAAGTTAACAATCGTGTGAGACATAATTATCAGACGGACCTGTCGTCCATTTTCCGAGCATTTGTCATTGATTTGACAACAGTTAATACTGCTATCGTCGCAAGACGTCAAACAACCTCCTCGATTAACGATGATATTCTTCTTTTCTGATTCGGCGAGTCTGCCGCGAACGATCATCGAGTCAAAAATTTTCACGTTGTCATCTTGATCGATCCCATTGAAGTACTGCCGTTTCTTGAAATCATTCGTCTCTTTCTGACTTTGATTCTCCAGAGTTTCCTTCCATTCCACCTCATTCTCGTTGCTTATGTGGCCGCTATCCTCCGAACAATTTCCATCCGATATATAACCGCTGTACTCGTTCGCGCTCTTAGATTCGTTTTTCTTCAAGGCAGGTGTTTCGATGACAGGAACATTCGCGGGTCTTGGTTTGATTAGAGTATCCCGCGGAGATTCTTTGGAGACTTCGGCATTCTTGCAATTAAAGAAATTTACTAGATGCTCGATGTCGTTAGCCTTCTTGTTGACGCACTGCTTTCTTTTCGTCTCCTGCGCGTCATCGACGACATCGTTTTCAGTTCGAATCGCCTTCGATAAATTGACGATTTTCCCAGAATTCGCAACACAGATCGTCTTCGCATCAGAATCCTGATTGCCTTTACTCTGTTTTTCCCAATTACGTCTCAGTTCCTGAATGGAAGTTTCCTTGATTCTTCTCGACTTCTCGGCAACTTCTTCCGATTTCTCACACTTCTTGATCCGGTTAGATGTATATTTTTTTACATAATCTCTTTTCTTCGAGTCTTCTTCCGTCTTTGTATTATCTGTAAATATATCCATCTTTCTCTTTTTCGAGTCTTCCTCAATTCTCTCCTTGCTCTCGTCGTCAAAGTTATAATTCTTTATAACAATACTAGCTTTGCTATCGTGTAGGGCCTCAAAGAGCGACATCCACAATATCCAAAGACATGATCGTTTTCTTAGGTTCCAAGTCGTCCTCTAGCTGTGCCATTAATCGCGCGGCTCTCTCTTCCAAGTTACTTGTCGACGTTGAAATCCTCGAGGAGCTCAGCTTTGAAGCACGATCAAGGGTCTCGCGACAATTCTCGTAGATACGCTCGTTTGACGCGGCGTCGAGATCGAGCTCGAAATGACCAACTGACTCTCCGACGCGATCTACTTGCGATAGATCGGCGAGAGATCGGCCGAGACCGGTAGATCGAGCTGCCGGAAGCGGTATCTTACTCGGTCTGGCGACCGAGTTTAGCCTCACGGGTGCACCGTAAGATTTCCTGCATTGATTGTAATCCACTTTTGGCGTTTGAACGTTCCAAAGACTAGTAGATCTGCTCATGAACGTTAGATTTTTTCGCAACATTTCGGCCTTCTTTCCTTTTTCCATCGATTTCCTTTCTGACGGAATTGAAATCCATCGTGGAGATGTTGCGGAATTCGATTGATTGTCTGCAGACACGGAGTTCAAACTAACTGACCGATCTAGAGTACTCTTTCGTTGCAACGCCTCAGGCTTCACCGGCATCTTTTCGGGCGTATAAGTGAGACCCTTTTTTAGCAAAGCTCTGTCTTCTAATATCGTGCATGAGGGAGACGAGCTAACCGACTTGCAAACCTTCTTCTTGTCGTTATTGCGCGCAGGAGATGAAACAGTTTTTATCGTATCCGATCGGGTTTCGCTTGGGGATCGTTTCGCAGGTTTTGAAGGCGAAACAAGGCGGAGCTTCGAGGAATCCGAATTGTTAGAACTACGACACGGTGAGTTAATCGTGTCATTAGTCATTTTGATAGATATCTTCGAAGTTATCGGTGATTTTCCAGAACGAATCGGCTTGACCGGAGTAATCGTGGGATTCATCGTCCGGTTTGATTGGTTTTGCTTTTTGACGGATGAAAGTGACGCTTTTGAAACATTCGGACTACTCTTGGCCTTAACTAAAGGCGAACCATTGCAGCTGACCGTGTATTTAGATACGTTATCGAACATGATGGAAAACCTAAAGTCAGATTTGATAAAGAAAGGAACAAATTGTTACTTATAACGGGGATAATATGCTTCGATCCTAGTTATCTGTTATAACATTCTTAACTATAATCTGTTATTATTATTAATAAATTATTCTGTTTGTCGTATTGTAGTTTACATGCATCTCTAAGTCAATTTTTTGACGCATCAGGAATTAATTAATGATTGAGGCAAATTAAATTTAAACAGCATGTGTAAACGTATGCATTGTATACGTTCTTTGTCTGGAACAAAAAAGTAACTTCGCGGCTCCTTCGTATTATGCTCTTTCCATATCAAGGCCTTGATTTTTTCTATTTTACTATTTTTTTCTCATCTATAATAAATTAACTTCGATAAAATTTTTAATAAAAAAATCGAAATACACTTTCCTTGTTATTATCAGTGTTTCTAATTTATTAAATATTGAATTTATTAAATAAAATCTCAAATTAATTTTGAATCAATCAGTTTTTATATTATTTTTAAATCAATTATATTTCTTTAAGTTTGATTTGATTAGATATTATTCAAGCTAATGAGACGAAAATAAATAAAACCTGTCAATTTTTCTGTATGAAAATAAATAACAATAAATACAATATTCTCGTCTGTTCCGGTGATTTATTAAATGACTTTGAATTAATTATTTTAAGATTGTTCATAGATAGATCTCTTATTTACAAACATAAGGACACTTTTTGTCTGTAAACAAGCATTTATATTTATTCTTTTCACCTTTATATTTATAACACTGTTTTAAATCGTATTCTTCGTAATCTCTTCGGTCGATGTGAGGTAATTCATTATTTCGCGCAAACTTTATATAAGTGTGCGCATAAACGTGCATTCGTAAGAACGATATATTATATATATATATATATAAAATTGAATAATTTGTAGATTTATCGGAATACTAGATTTTTAATTATAAAGTAGCGTAAGATCTGTAAGACAGACAACATATTTAATCACAAGCGAGAGGATATTTAAAGTTTAACGACTTGTCAATGCCAGATCGTTCGCTGCACTTATCACTAACTCGAAATCGCACCCCCGATCACTGACACGAATGAGATCGCGATAATTCTCTCACTTGCAGACGTCGCGGGATGAATGGTTGTTGAAGGAGAGCTTTTTCTCTCCTCTGCCGCGCGCAGAACGAGCCGCGACTAAGTGCCGTAAAAGAGCCGCGTAAAAGTGTATACGCATCCGACTGCGAGAGCAGAAGTGAGGAAGCGAAAGAGAGAATATGGCAGACGATACAAGAGGAAGGGATGAAGGAGTGAGGGAAATAAGAGGAGAGGTTGGAGGGACCAGCAAGGGAAAGGAGCAGATTATCTTGAAGCCGGTTGAACGCATCGGCCTGCAATTCTCAACTACAGGAAGATCCAACCGGTTAATGCTCAGATTTGCCAGCTTATCATTTTCATTGAAGGGATACGTCGCTTTTTTTATTCTGATAAACTCCGAGACGCAGGAGACATATCGGAAAACGTAACAGCGAAAGATTCTCTTAACGCTTCATTATATTGAAAGATTTCGAGACAAGTGGTATCGGCTAGATTACAGCGGAAAAAAATTTTGAAATGCACTATGTACTTCTGAAGAAAGAGGATGATGAAACAAATATATCAAAATTTCACTGAAAAAATAATGAGAATTTTTTTCGATATATAATATAATTTAAAATCTTTTATTATATTTACATTATTTTTATAATTGTATTGTTGTTGTTATTAAATCTACTATTTAATTTTTGTCATAAAGAAATTATATTTTAATTATAATCGGAAGATTATCTTAATTTATAGTTTGAAATTTATCAGAAGTTTTGCTAGAATTTAATTTTCTTTATCTGATACACCACTAGATTGCGTGTCTTGTGGCAAAATAAATAGATCATCAAGAAATGCTAATAGGTGCAGAAACTGCACGTTAAAAGTGGTGTAACTTGTTTAATTAAACGCGCAACATGAATATTGTGTAAAGTACATTTGGCAATTCTGAGAAGACCGCGTCCCATTAATTACATGATGCGTTCGTCTCGAGATAAAACATCCGTTAAACGAATGTCTACTAAAGTTGAGAGAAACGAAACATTGAGATCTTTCAACATTACGCGCATTGAAGCTTTAAAATAATTCACGATTTGCAATGCATTTTTCAATAATTTCGAATGAGACGA